GAGAGAGAGAGAGAGAGAGAGAGAGAGAGAGAGAGAGAGAGAGAGAGAGAGAGAATGGGCAAGGTAGTTTATGTGTTCCTCTGAATTTTAAGAAAGAAAAGAACAGGGATAACTCTAGAATAGTGTTATGTATTTTTAATTCTACTGAGTTGTGGAAAAAAGTAATGAACTATGAAATTTCCTTCAAAAAGAGGTCTTGGGCACTATGTCATTAGCAGCTAACTTTGTGGGGGTTGTGTGGATCAGTGTTGGCACTGTGTGACATCATTATTTTTATCTCAGGGTCAGATCTGAGTCATTCAGGGCCAGTGTTTTCTGGGCACTGATATGACACCAGGTGCTATGAATACATGACTTTCTTCTTGGATCTCTGTCCACTCTGAGTCTCAACTGCAGGATCTGCATGAAGAGTCACAGGTCTATGTTTTCTAACAGCAAATCCTAAAACTAACCCCCTGCTGATTTGTTTTTTCATTTGTTTGTTTGTTTTATTGTTTTTTTTGGTAGTAAGTCTCCAATTAAGAAGTGCTGTTTTGGGAGTATTACATCTGTCAACCATATGGAAACAGAAAAAAAAGATTAATAACCCAAAGTGATGTTTTTAGAAATTAATTTCTACTTTTGAAACTACCAAAAGAGGGTCCTCCCCATCTCAGAGGTGATCCACATGATGCAGCAGACTTCTCCTGACCCTCCCACTGCTCCCCACTCTGTCTCTGGTGAATCCTCTCACCTCCCCTGCACCTCTGGCCTGTATCTCAGCTCTGTATGCATAAATAAATAAATCTTAAAAAAACAAACAACTACCAAAAGAAATTTAAAGTATAGGTTTGTGATTTTTAGGTATGGATGCTTTTTACTCTACATGTGTAGCTCACTCTTTACTAATATAAAAGAAAAGCATGTGCCATCCTAGTATAACTTGCCCCTTGACAATTTACTGCAGTAACACTCAAGAGTTTTGTGTTTATTCTTTTATTTCAGGTGCTGGTCTCAGTGTCAGTGATAATGAATCTGGTCAAGGCAGTCAGGAGGGAGGCACCTTGACTGACTCCCAGATTGTAGAATTAAGGAGGATACCCATCGCCGACACCCACCTTTAGTACCCCAATCATCAGCAAAATGAGGATCCTTTCATATTGTATTGACTTTGTACTAAAACTCTATAAGTACATGCTCCATATTGTAGGACTCTGTGAATTGTAGTGGTTATTTAATCCGGAAGTGATTGTTGTGTTTGAGACATAACATTTACCTTTGTGCATCCTAAAAGTTCACTGTTATAAGGAAAAACTGAGTTGGTTATATCTTTAATAGTATATGCATATTCCAAGAATATTAGATGTTTTTTAACTATTCTACATGGCTAACATTGTTTAATACAAGTAATAACTGAATAAAATCAATAGAATCTATTTGACGTCATTAAGTTTCATTATTTGTGAGCAAAATGTACTTGAGCAAAGAAACAGCCCTTATATGCAGATGATGTCAAGCAATCTGTTTCTTCCAGCATTGATATAGGAGGTGTACATGCAACACTTCACAGATCTGAGAAGACTTTCATTCCAAAAACCACAAAATAGATTGTTGCTTTTTTACCTGAGTGTATGTGGGGCCTCTGTAGTTTGTTTAGTCTTTCAGTGAAGTATGTATCTCTGCTCATTATAAGGTTAGGGATCTGACTATCTTCTGGAATGAATATTCTGTCCCCAGGTAAAATTAACTCCATCAAGATTATAGTACAGCTGGGCTCTCCTTGGTGTCACAGTGTGTTAAAGCGCAGCACTAGGAAGCTGTCCACATTCACTGCAGCTCAAGTTCAATCCCCTGGCTGGTGAGGGAGGTGGCCCACATGACACAGCAGATCTCTCCTGACCCACACACTGCTCCCCTCATCAGTGTATTTTGTCAATCTGCCTGGTCTTCTCCCCATTGTCTCTCATGACCCTCTCACCCCACCCCACCACTAGCCTTCACCCCAGTTCTTGTGTGCATAAATAAATAAATATTTTTTAAAAAAGATTATAGTACAGCTAAGAAGGAGATCATTCAAACAATATAGAGTTTGTTAGGGAGAATTATTTCTTGTTTTGGCTTTTTCAATCTTTCTTTGTCTGGTAAAAAAATCAGAAAGTCTAGTCCAGAACAAACACTATTGTATTCATGATGATTTCATTGCCTGTAATTCCAGAAGAATCATTAGAAACAGAACACGTTTGTCCTAAGAAAGCCTTTTTGACCTTTTATTTTGAAATTCTTAAAAGTGTTTGCCTATGAGAAAATTTTGTTCTGTTAATAATTTTCCTTAGAGCCATAATTAAAACATCCCAGTGCTCTATCATTGCTGAAGCATGGCTTTATTTCAAACCTGAGCTGGCTCTTTCCTCTCCCTTCTCATCCTCTCTCCCATGCCTCTGTCCTCCCTCTCATTTGAGTTTTGATAGGTGGATTGTTATTGCAAAAACCAAAAGCTGCACTAGCACACAACATAAAGACAAAGGTTGCAACATTGGTGAAGTTACAGTCCTTTTTAGGGACTTTAAAAATGGTAGTAATAAGATTGAATTTATCTGAAGCGACAAATACGTTAGTTGTATTTCAAACTACAGCATCATACTATAATGTGTTCCATGATAAATAGATGTAATTGATGGGATTGGATGTAATACACAAAATGTAACATAAAAATCTTCAAATTAGTAAGCATTCGAAGATTTTAATGGGCCTCAATGTATTTGGAGCTAAGGTAATCATTACATTTGTATAATTACAGAAATGTGAAATTTTTATTGTGTAGAATACATCAGTCATCATCACTAACATTTTTGAAAAATAATTAACTTTAAATGTTAGTTCTCTAACAAAGGCAGGGATCAATAACTGTTTTCTTTCTCATGTGTTGTCAGAATTTCGAAGGATTTGGCCAAAAACATGCCCAATCTGGGGCACCTTTCTTTTGTTAGGTAATTATGGTTTTTATCACTGTACAAAACACTGTCTGGTAAAGAAAACAAAGGGCCACCTGCCTCTGATTCTTTTAAATACTGGGAGGAAAAAAAACATGAATTCTAGAAACCACAGCGCTAAAACAAATAAACTTCATATTCCAACAGCAGCAATATTTTGCCATCCTGTTTCCTCCCAGTGTGGATTAAAGTGGGACATCTGCCAGGGAAATATATAGTGTGCTGTAGGAAGAAGCAAATAAAATTCTTAAGAATGAAACCTGGAAGGCTAGGACTGCAATTCTGCAACCATGGTGTTTTTCAAGTGGGCTAATCCTCTTTTATTAGTATTTTTTAAAACAGCTTTATTGAGATTTAATTCTCATTTCATACAGTTTTAAAACATGCAATTCAATGAATGGTATTTGGTATGTTACATTGCTTTTTTTAATTATGGTGAAATATATGGATCAAAACTGACCATACTAGCATTTTTACACATATAATTCATTAACATTACTTACATTCACCATACTTGTATAAATACCACCTATTTTTCCAAAACTTATTCCTCAACCTGAACAGAAACTCTTCTCCACCATCTCCATGCTATTTTCTTTTCTCAGTCAATAGACACCTAACATTTACTTGGCCAAAATCTCTCCTGCTATATTTTTGTAATTTTTAAATTTGTTTTTTATTTGTTTTAGATCCTTTTCAACATTTTCTTTTTTTAGAATAAAAAAAAAAGATTTTCCTAATTTGGCTGCATATACAGATGTGCATGCAGTTGAGATTAAGGGTAAGAGTAGAGCTAGTAGACTGCCTACTGATAATGAAACAGGCAAGTGAAAATCTTAGTAAGCAAAACAGAAAGAATTCCACTCAGGAACTTTAATTTGGAGTTGGTTTCAGTCTCTTGAGGTTTTAAGTTTAATGAGTATACTACATATTTCAAAAGTCTGATCAGAGAAATTTAAACATGTGGTGGGTTTATGATTGAAAATAAAAGTGATTCCCAGTGAACCAGTGCTGCACAGCCGTGCTAACGTAAGACCAAGTACTTGGCCAGTGCCAAGACAGAGAAAAGGTCACTGGCTGTGAGTTCTTACCTGTGTGCTCAGTTGCGAAACTGCTCTGGCTCAGAGGACAACAATGGGGTTTATTTAACAAACGAGATTTGGGAAAAGGAAAGTTTCTAAGGCCACAAGAGACCAGCTACCTCACTGCAGATAGTGACCACACTATCCAGAAGCCCCAAACAAAGGCTACTTGTCCAAGGTGCATCTGTCCTATCAATAAGAGCCTGAAGCTTACGGTATACCAGGAAGCAGAGGGTCAGGATTCAACTCACGGTGGCAGTGGGAGGTGATCATAGGTGACACTACAGCAGCCGCAGTAACATTCTGAAGGCCACTGGACAGCACCAGACATTGGACTGGTCAACACTGGGAGGTGATGCTGGATGATGGAAAGTGGTGGACAGCTCTCATAGGTGACAGAGTATTAGTGTTGGTCATCTGTCAACAGTGCCGGATAGCTCTGGCCAGTAGTGCCAATCCCCATTCGTCACCAGGAGGCAGTGTCAGACGCACCAGTGTTAACAGCTCTTTGTGAGTTGTTGGTCTACACCAACAACAAATAGCTCTTTGAGATACTAGGCTGTGGCTGACAGTGCTACTTGCATGCAATATGAGGAGCAGAGCCAGAGGCAGTTAGAATAGCCTGGTCTCTGCAAACATCTATGAAGTCAACTGTTTGATGTTTCCTCTTTCATCAGAGGTTGGATGCCAGAAGCTTTTCTTTTTGGAGGTTGACTGCTGATCCTTCTATCTTCAGAAGCCAAGAACAGAATGTTCTAAGCTGGTTCCTGCCCTCCCTTATATCCTCTTCAGGGTCCCCCACCTTCCAAGTCTGGTTGGACCATTTTCAATCCTCAGCATCTAATTGGACCATTCTAATAAGCTGATCTTGGACTTGATTGGTCCATTTTATGACCCAAGAACCAAATATAAAAAGGGAAAACTTGGTGCCTGCACAGACCTGTACTGCCCTAACCTCAGGGCAGTCTCCTGAGCTGAAACCATCCTCTGCATCTGTGCCCTTTCAACAAAGCAGGTGCAATAATGCAACAAAGTGTGTGGTGGGGGAGGGGGGCTGAAGCAGCACTGGGACACAGAAACAAACTACTGCTGGGAGCCTGCAATGTTAGCTGGGGACTCCATGGGCCTCTACTGTCTGTAGCTCATTCTCCTCCCTGCAGCCCAGAACCAGTGGCCATGGGGCTTGGAGTTTGCCACTACAGTTTCAGTAGAATTCACATGGTTCAATGATTCAGTGTGGGAGGGGAACCATTGCCATCTGCCTACTGCTGCTTCTGTCACACCCCTGGCCCAGCAGTGTCCTTGACATCAGTGGTGGTGGGGTGGTAAAATGCCCACCTCCTGCCAATCCAATGATGTTGCCTGTTGACCTGTTGCAGTCTGCCAAGGCCCCCAGGCGTTGCCCGCAAGCAGCGTGCTCCTGAGGCAGGCCATTGGGGTGGAGCCTCGCTGATGCTGTAAAACCACCACCCACAGGCAGCATGCACCAGACTGCAGGCAAGAAACTGAAGCTGTTGCTGCTTTTAGAGCATGGCAGGCCAGCCTCCTGCACGTGCCTATCCTCCATTCATCCCCTCTACTCACTAGGGGGATGCCTGAGGAACCAACAAAGCCAGCAAGACCTGTGGCTTAGGTGGCAGGAAAGACCCAGTTTTGTCCCCCACCCACAGCTGGTGTCTCATGGTCCAGTTTCATCAGGAGAGATCCCAACTTCATATTGTTTACCAGATTGCAAGATCCCCCTCGACTTTAGCTCTAAGGCCTCTGGGTAGAATTGCCTCAATCAGGTACATAAGGGACATGAATTGGCTTCTCAAGCAACTAGCTGCCAGAGTGTATCTCCTCAGGACAGCCTGACTTGGTGGGTCAGGGAAACAATGTGTGCTTTCCTGTTCCATATATGGTCTTTTAATTATTAATAACATAGACCCAGTCTCCTCAATGATTTACTACCAATCCGTAAGTTAAAGGACCACGTTGTTTAAAGGACTGGAGGACTAAGAATTTAAACTACTGGAGGCTACAAAATCTCCCATTATCTTGAATTTTTTTTAGTCTTTTTCATGTTTAGTAACGGAAAGTATAACTCAGATGAGTGTTAACTCATACTGCTAAGATTTGGTGATACATTGATGTTATTCTTACTCAACACCTCTCACCAAAATTTTTATGCCATAAAAAAAATGTTAATACTTTATTAGAAAACCAAACTACAAAAATTTAGAGACCCTCAGGTGCTTTATTCAACCATCACACAGACTATCTAGCACAGATAATGACCACATGCACAAAATCTCTAAAAAACATATTCCTATGTGGGGGCAACATTACTTCATGGTTGTCTGTAATTATTTAAATCACCTT